TGCCATGAGCAGGAGAAGTGGAAGACTTAACTCTGGGGATGCTGATTTTGGGTTGCTGATGTTTGCTTTGAGAAAATTTCTGTTTTATTGACTGGGGTTAGATTATGGTATTACATTATATTGTTGGTATAATGCCGAATGCTAAAGGGGAAACATTTTTGATATAACTCATGTTACCATTAACTGAAGAAACACATGACTGATAACTGTTCTATTTTAAGTTTTCTTTTTTATAACACAGATTGGATCATAAGTGGGGAAAACTGAGTATGAAATGTGAAGTTGAGGTTAACATACAGGTTTTGTTTCTAGGAAGTTCCAAGGATGCAAGCTGTTGATGGAGCCAGGAGTTTGAAAAGATTTGACATGATGATTAAATTGATTTCATTCCTTAAACACAGGTTTGCAGGGCTGGAGCAGATATACCTGAGAGGAGGATTGCTGAGGTGTTTGGAGAAATGATACGACTAACCTTTTCTTTTAATTTCCTAAGATCGGGTGAAGCATCTTGAGTTTGTGACACATAAGATGATTTTCTTGTTTATCTTTTGCAGGGCGCATTTTTGTGAGTCCGTGTTTGGACGGTGGAAAGGTTTGGCCATGTCAGCACTTTTTTTCCTTGGCCATACTTTTAGGAATACTGGTCACCTGTGGTTGTTGCGTCATTCCTTGAGTCAGAGGATTGTTGGTAAAGGTAGTGGCAAGGGCAGTGGACCCCGGAGCGGTCGTTCCGGTGTTCCAGTGTCCATTGAGGAACTTAGATGCCATGGAGTGGGCCAAGGAGTGATACAACACGAGGTGTGGTGACATTCCTTTTTGGAATGTCAAAAGAGGGAATGTGGAGATGTAGAAATTATTTTATTGCTGCCATATAATCTGCATCATTATAACTGCATTGATAACATTCTTTACAGCATTATTTCATCTAATAGTATTTCTCACAGTATTGATATTGCATTAAAGTTGTTTATTGAAGATGTCCATTTGAGGATCCTTTCATTATGTTAACTTTTATTACAAGTACGGTCAGAAGTATTTCATACACATTGCATATTTGTGCTTATTTCGAGTTGATGTTTGGTTCATTAAGGGCCTTAAGCTTCACTGGCGTGACTGTCCAGGTGATCCATGCTGAGGGAAACTGGACCATAGAAGGATAACTGCAATGCATGCTTACAATACATATAACACATATAATCTAGGAATGTGTCAGGCCTGAGGCCTTAATTCATTTGGTGTCTTACTATATTTTACT